CGGTATGTGCAGTATTTGGCATAAGCCATTTTTTTCGAACTTTGGACGGCTTGGTTTTGCCCTCGTACATTCCGGTTTCGTGCGTTGTGCCTAGTTTCCAATAGGAACGGCTATGCCAAAACCAGGTTCCAGGCCTGCAATGCACGGTATGTATCGGTATGTGCAGTTTTTGGCATAAGCCATTTTTTTCGAACTTTGGACGGCTTGGTTTTGCCCTCGTACATTCTGGTTTCGTGCGTTGTGCCTAGTTTCGTGTGTACGAAGTCAGGAAAACAACTGACGCGCGCACGCACCCACTCCCAGAACGACACACTCACATCCGAACTCTTCCTCTCCCTTTTTCTTCCGCTCTCTCGCTCTCCTCCCGTCTCTTTCTCTCTCTTTCTCTCTCAACCCGGCGGACCTGTCGACATGGTTTACGAATTCTCGGATCCTGACAAACATGCTCTTACTCAGACGATGTGGAAGAGCTCAGGGCAGGTGAACCGCCTCCGCTGGATGATCAAGGCTCCGCAGCTCCAGGTAGGTCAGGGCGTAGCAAGCCAGCCCTGATCAAGGAAGTGTCCGACAAAACGAAGTCTGCGCCCCACACCACGCTCAGCTAGCGTACACTGCTGCTCAAGACAACGAGGCCTTTAGAGAGGATACACGACCTGCACGCTGCGGAAGGTCTCCTGCTGGGCGAAGGCGTTCAACACGCAACATTTGCCACACAAGCCAGAGTTGTCAGGCCTGCTCACCAGCATCTTTCGGATCCTAACAAACATGCTCCTACTCAGTCATACCCCAGCGAGCGCACTGCTGCTCAAAACCACGAGGCCTTTAGAGAGGAGACTAGCACGCTGTGGAAGGTCTCCTGCTCGGCGAAGGCGTTCAACACGCAACATTTGCCACAAGCCAGAGTGCAGGCCTGCTCACCAGCATCTTTCGGTCCTAACAAACATGGGATGCTGACAAACATGCTCTTACTCAGACGATGTGGAAGAGCTCCGGGCAGGTGAACCGCCTCCGCTGGATGATCAAGGCTCAGCAGCTCCAGGTAGGTCAGGAGCAAGCCAGCAACCTGATCAAGGAAGTGTCCGACAAAACGAAGTCTGTGCCCCACACCACGCCCAACGAGCGTACACAGCTGTTCAAAAAAACGAGGCCTGTAGATCGAATGTACAATCTGCACGCTGTGGAAGGTCTCCTGCTGGGTGAAGGCTGTCAGCACTCCACATCTGCCACACAAACCTAAGCTGTCAGGCCTGCAAACGAGCATGGTCACCAGCATCTTTCGAGACCTTGGCAAGTGACCGCAAGGCGGACAAACTTCTTGGCAACAAGGGCTGCTCCAAAGGACTGCGTGCAAAAACAGCATGTTTTGATTTGCGTCAAGGCCAGTCACAAGCCCTGTCTGAAAGCTTCTAGAATCTTCGGCGGTGTTCGCCACTCTGGCGATGACAATGCGTCGCTCTGTGAACTGGAGACGGCTTGAGCAATCTGAGATCGGAAAGCTGCGTGTATTTCCGGCGGCGTTTCCCAATGAGGCGACCAGGGCCGAGAAACTTCAGGCGATGTAGGAGGTGGGCCTAGCGGTGTCCACGGCTGCGCAAGCTCCTCGTCCAAATGTTCAAGCGGTACTGCTGTCCGTGGCGGTGTCCACGCAGGCCACGAAGCTTCCGCCGACGACTCCGGCGGAGTCCACGGCTGTGCAAGTATCGATGTCGAATGCTCTTCGAACTCCGCAGACCACGAATGTGGGAGAGACGGCGGTCGCGCCGCATGCACAGCTGGTTCCGAAGCCACAGGAGGGGCCGCTTCGGACGGAGTCGAAGCTAGTGGATGCTCGGCTTTCCGCTTGCGGCCAACCTGGCAGAAACTGGAACCTTCAAAACAAACCTGCCCCAAGATTTCGAACACGTACAAACATACCTGATGCTTTCGGCACAGCCTCCAAGCTCTCCAAAGGGTCGGTCCGCGCAAGAGCTTCCTCGAAGTCCACAAGCTCAGAATCAATGCCTGGATTTTGCTTGATGTACTCCTGGTAGTTGTCATTGATCCATCTGCTGTAACAGCCCTTGCAACGGTAGCAAAGTTTCAGCTTGTTGTCACGCTGTTCCTGCGGCAAAGCATACTTGAAGTGCCACCTCAGCTGAAACCTGTTGTGAAAAGCAAGGCGCTCGGCTTCGTCAATCTCGCCTTTGGCAGTTCGCGGCTGCACCTTCGCTTGACAAGTCATGATGACCGGCGGGGGCGAATGCACCAGGACAGAACCGGCCCCCTTCACGGCAGCAGTGACACTCTCGCCCTCCAGCAGCAGCAACAACGTGTCCCACGGTATGGGGGAGGAACTCAGCCGCCAGTCCTGGAAGACCGTGATGAGGTGCTGCTCAAGCCCCATAAGGGGGAACGTGTCTCCCTTGTTGGGCCGCAAGAAGGTGCGATTCTCGAAGATGTGCATCAAAGGCCTTGTCAAACCAGTCTTCCCAGAGTTGGACTCACCATAAAGCAAGAGGTTGTTGTTCTTGGCCGCAGTCCCCAGCTTGAGAAGACGCAGGATGCAGAACGCGAACCTGCCTGCACTCTTTCCATGATGCTCCAACAAGTTGTCCAAAGCTTCGCGCAATCTGGAGGGCTCATAGCACACACAAGCCTCTTGACTGGCAGCTGCCCAAAGCCGCAGACGCTCCTCGCGCTGTCTGGGCGTGCTAGTTTCTGTCAGCATCGTCTGCCAAGATAAAAACAGAGGCTGCATCTTCGGCCCCTGACGCGCCATGAACTCCTGGAACTTGCCATTTCCACGCTCACGCTGCTGCGCAGCCCATGCTATGAGCTCCTGGTACGAAGTCAACCGCGGACGCAAGTTCCGAAGGGCATTGAACATGTCGCTTGGCCGGAAAGAAGCATTCGAAAACTTACGCATCTTGCTTTCCATCTGTTCCAAGGGGAAGGTCGAAGAGAAGTAAGGATCGCCATCGAGTTCAGAATGGCTTTTCTTTAAGCTCGGACAAAGTACATAGCGAAGAATGCGCCATATATCAGCGTGGAACTGTGGCAAAGCAAGGCGGCCATAAAAGCCACGCTCCCGCAAGTTCTTGGCCACAGCCTTCCACTTCACACGACGACTCAGCTTTAGCACCGCATGCCAATGCCATGTTCTCTCCCATCTTCGTGAGGAGCTGGCATGCTGCTCTGCCACAATGCAGTAGTACGCAATGCAATCTGCACCATACACCTGCTTCAGAGCCTTGCCCAAGCATTTCTTGCCGTGATCCGTGGCAGTAATGGCATCTGGCTTGTTCGAGTGAGGAAACGTCCAGAAGTGCACTGTGCTTCCTGCGTACCTGACAAAAACAACGCGGCCCGACACAGCAGCAAGTGTCCCAGAAAACAAAAGTGCTTGCAACTTTTTTGCCAAGCGGCTTGATTTGCTTAGTCACACATCGCAAATCCGCAAACTGATCCACAGGGCCGTCAGCCTCCTCAGAACTGCTCTGCTCCGCAGCAAAAACATCATCATGCTCGGCAAGGCTCACTTCAGAGCTTTCGTCGCAGGAATCAGGGGCCGCAGATGAGGCCGAAGACGAGCTACTATTGGAGCTGGAGGTGCTGCCAGCATTCAACCGCCCATCAGAAGACATGCCATAGACCCCTTCGCCGCCATGGCTCCATGTCCTATGAGTCCGACCAATTCCAAAATTGCATAGCCGAACGCTGCAGAGCATACATCCCCGGCCCTCCCGTGCCCACCCGTACAAAGATGAATGTCACGTTCGCAGCTTGGAACAGCGCAAGAAGTCTCTGAGAACGCCGCTCTTGCTTTCCAGCCCATTGAAGATGATGCACAATGGAACAGCCTGCAGCAAGCCCGAAGCCGTCTAAACTCCAAGCTCTTTACTTCGATTTGCATGACCGCGGAATCCACAAAGTACATCTTTGTTGCGGTGGGGCAAGGGGAGGGTATTAAAAACAGCGTCTGTCCCTAAACCTTGAACCCTGAACCCTGCGGAGCGGTGCCCCAGCCTGGCTTTACAGTGTGGCTGGCATCAGCAGGACAGACCTTGGGAATAGCCGATTTCGTGGCAGGTTTGTTAAGCCGTACTTTAGGGCTTTTAGAGTTTAGGGTTTCATGCTGTCGGGTTTTTTCAAGTGGCCTCAGACCTAAGACCTACCGCACCTGCCTCAGACCTAAGACCTACACGCCTGCCTGAGACCTTAGACCTACCGCGCCTGCCTCAGACCTAAGACCTACCGCGCCTCAGACCTAAGACCTACCGCACCTGCCTCAGACCTAAGGCCTACCGCACCTCAGACCTAAGACCTACCGCACCTCAGACCTTAGACCTACCGCACCTGCCTCAGACCTAAGACCTACCGCACCTCAGACCTTAGACCTACCGCACCTCAGACCTTAGACCTACCGCACCTGCCTCAGACCTAAGACCTACCGCACCTCAGACCTTAAACCTACCGCGCCTCAGACCTTAGACCTACCGCACCTGCCTCAGACCTAGACCTACCGCACCTCAGACTTTAAACCTACCGCGCCTCAGACCTTAGACCTACCGCACCTGCCTCAGACTTCAGACCTACCGCACCTCAGACCTTAGACCTTTTTTTGCACGCGGCAACCAAGGAAACATGACACCCCTTGTGCTTCGGCCTTGCGCGCTTTTGCACGCACACGGTTTTTAACACATTTCCACTTTGAAGCCTTGATATAAGGCAAGTGAGTGCTACTTATCGCCCTTGCACTCACCCTTGCGCGCACGTGCGCCGTGCGTGATCTGGAGCAGGTCCTAAACCTGCATCGAAATATTAAAGTGCGCTGCTAGTCTACCGTCCAGAGCCGGGGGTTTAGAACAACTCTCACTGCACAACGCTCCTACCGCACTCAACACTCAGAGCCCCTGGCAAAATCAAGATGTACAGGTTTGGTCACTCCTGCTGCCTGTCCATGATGCCACTCGCAGAGGGGCTTGAAAGAGCTTCTGCTCAACTCAATCTCAGCCCAGCACACCGCAGGCCTTGACCTTTGGCATTTCTGGGTTTGGGATGCAGAAAAAACCAAAACTGTTCCTAATGCTTGTTTTA